TCAGACCTCACCTGGAGTACTGTGTCCAGTTCTGGGCACCACAGTTCAAGAAGGACACGGACAAACTGGAACGTGTCCAGAGGAGGGCAACCAAAATGGTCAAAGGCCTGGAAACGACGCCTTATGAGGAACGGCTAAGGGAGCTGGGCATGTTTAGCCTGGAGAAGAGGAGGTTAAGGGGTGATATGATAGCCATGTTCAAATATATAAAAGGATGTCACATAGAGGAGGGAGAAAGGTTGTTTTCTGCTGCTCCAGAGAAGCGGACACGGAGCAATGGATCCAAACTACAAGAAAGAAGATTCCACCTAAACATTAGGAAGAACTTCCTGACAGTAAGAGCTGTTCGACAGTGGAATTTGCTGCCAAGGAGTATGGTGGAGTCTCCTTCTTTGGAGGTCTTTAAGCAGAGGCTTGACAACCATATGTCAGGAGTGCTCTGATGGTGTTTCCTTCTTGGCAGGGGGTTGGACTCAATGGCCCTTGTGGTCTCCTCCAACTCTATGATTCTATGATTCTATGATTCTATGATTCAAACATAAGGGGATTATCCAAAAGGTCAGGAAAATTGCTAAGGAAGCCTGATGAAGAGGATACTAGACAGTTGGGGGGGGGGAGACCATATATTATGATTGGCTATGAATCTACAAGCACATTTTGTTCAGCAAAATTAAGACCATGCAATGCGAGAGGTCTGAATCTTCCAGTGAAACAAAAGGAATGGTTGAAATATAGAAATAGCACTGAAGAATTGCAAAGGAGCAACTGTTAAATTCACAATGCTATCATTAAAATCATGCCAGTAGTTCATTTTCCCATAAAGTCACAAAACAAACTCTGAGAAGTCCTCATAACGAAGAGTGATTAATTGTGAAGAATTATATGTGACTTATAGGGACACTTTGAAACCATCAGCAATAATGCAATGATTCAATGTGAGCTGTGTGAACCAACCACAAGATTCAGTTCAGACCCTGAATCAGCCCTTTAGAAAGCAGCCCACCTCCATCCAAGACACTTGTACACTGCCTGGTTCACTTCATTCACTACTGTGACATTTTAACATAACTATAACTTTCCCCCCTTGATAGTAGTGGATGAAATTTGCAGGCAGAATAAGCCTCCATTGCAAATTACAAGCTAATAGATTCAGAGACTTCTGCACAGGACACCCCTAAAGTTTACTGTATTTTTTTTCTTAAGGGAACCTCTATAACTTTTTGTTTTGTGGCAGAATTGAATCTGAGGGTAAGGGCTCACCCTTTCTGAGGCCATGTATCCTCCCAAATATCAGAATGATAGTAAAGTGGTTTTCCTGCTAGGGTGGCCTTTACAGTTTTCAGGTTCACTTCATTTCCCCACCTCCATTATTTGGAAATTTAAAAATGTCTATAACAACTTTTCCCTTTTGACAGAAGTAGATGAAAAATGCTCCTCCAGAATAGGTAAAGCTTTGTCAAAGCACACTTTCTAGGTGAAATCAGGTTCAGCTGCTGCTATTTACATTTCAAAAATAATGCATGTTAAATGTTGGTAGAACAATCCTATGGTGGGCAGAAAGAGGAATCGGTGGCATAAACAGGCCTGCATCAGCCAGGGCAGGACTTGGGTACGCCAACTTTCAGGCTTACATATATTCCCACCCTTGGATCCTACAGGTACAAAGCCTCTCTCATCGCACTCTGAACATGCTTTTCATCCCACCCAGCAAAGTGCCAACAGATAAGGACAGATGGATATGGAAACTTCTGCTCTAGGGCTGATGTATTTTGTATGTTTGGGGCATGTTGTGGGGAACATCTCCCAACACACCTCTTCCCCATGGATGACAGAGGAAGAAGTCCTACAGAAGTTTCCACAACCACAATGAAGGATGAGGGGGTGGGTGTCCTTCACCTCTAGTGGGCCTCCCTCTCCACTGCAGCAGATGAATCTATGGCCCTTTAGCTGTTGTTAGACTACAACTCCCATTGCCGTCTGCAAGCATTGTAAAAGGTTACGGAGTGTGGGAGTTGTAATCCAACAATTACTCCCCATAGCTTAGCCCTCAGGGAGGAAAGTCTGCAATGCCCTATGGCCTTAGGACACATTTGCAGCAGGGAACTTCCCAGAATCACCTTGTAGTAAGAGTGCTCTGAGTTAAAAGATGCACATGGCAAAATATAAGTGACCTCAAATAATGAATGGGTTCTTTCTTTGATGCAACAGCAATAAGTCAGTCTCTAATAGCCTGGACAGTCTGTATGCAGAAGAGCTGATATTTCCTGATTTATTCGATTCTCAGAACGAAGGAAAGCCAAGCAAGTTCATTGTGTAGAGAGCCACATCATGAAGGTTCCTGTCCTTTGCCTGCTTACAATGCTGGAGTGGTTATAAAATTTCTAGTCTCTCCCCAATGGCAATTTGGGCCCTCCTCCAAAGAGAGCTACTCTAAAGAAAGCACAAACAAAAATTACTCAATTTTACATGAATAAGGAAAATGAGGCGGCGGGTAAGAAACAGCAGGAGCCAGATACTATTATTGACCTTATAGGGCCTCTCAGCAGCTATGGTGAAGAGCAGAACGATCAGAAAGAGGTTTTGGGCCAGCTCAACTCCTGAGTCATCTCTTGCATTGACACAAGTAACTCAAGTAACTCAAGGACTAATCCAGGCTAAACAAGTGGAGGAACTAATGTTAAAGCAAATTTCATCAGGAGCAAGTATAAAAGAGTCCTACTTCCAACTTTCTGAAACAAATGAGGAGGGATTATCAGTCACTGGGTGGCTTGTACTACTAACATTGAACATTGAACACATAAAATCATTTTTGGCTGACTATAATAAAATTCTTACCATCTTGATAGGTACTTGTAGCAATACAAAAAACCAACAGGCTACTATTCTAAGCACCTATGCACCAACACTGGATGCCGATGAAGACATTAAAGAATTTTTTTACTCTCAGTTGGATACCATCCTATCAGAGACACCTGAGGATAAAATTACCCTCCTGGGTGATTTTAATGCAAGAGTTGAATGAGATTTCGATTGTGACCTGCAACTATTGGGAAAGAAGGAACTGGCAACAGCAACCAGAACAGAATCTTACTTTTTACTATATGTGCAGCGCACAACTTTGTTATTACCAACACACACTTTCAACAAAAAAATTTAAAACATCATGGAGGCATCCTCGGTCAAACCACTGGCACCTCTTAGACTATGTCCGAGCAGAAGATAGCTGTGATGTACTCCTTACAAGTGACAATGACTGCTGGACAGATCACCAATTAATACGCTCCATGATGGCTATAAAGATTATACCTCAACACAGGCTTCAAGGCACAAAATGAACACGCAATATCCTATTAAGCAGGGACTGCTACCAAATGACTCTTAAGTTCCCTGATAACATCAAGGAACACTGGACCAAGCTAAAAACATCCATTATTACAGCCTGTGAACAAACTATTAGATACCAAACCAAGAAACACCAGGACTAGTTTTATGAGAAAGACAGTGAGATTGAATGCATCATTGACAAGAAAAGGAAGGCCTTTCAGATATCACAAAGATTGAAATAATAATAATAATAATAATAATAATAATAATAATAATAATGATTTATTTATACACCGCCCATCTGGCTAGGTTTCCCCAGCCACTCTGTGTGGCTTCCAACAAAAGATTAAAATAAAATAATAACTGCACCACTAAGAAAAAAACCTATGCCAACACCAAGGCTGAGGTTCAAAGAAGAACCAGAGAACAAAAGAACACCTGGTGGATAAAAAAAGCTCAAGAGACCAGCACTTAGCTGGCACTCAGGATGCACAGAGTTTCTTTAAAGCCACAAGAACCATCTATGGGCCAATAAATCATGGCATATGCCCCCTACGCTCAACAGATGGTACCACACTTCTAAAAGATAAAAAAGCTATTGCATTGTGCTGGAAGAAACATTACCAGCATCTCCTTAAGCGCAACTCCCCAGTAGCTGCTGAGATCGTCTCACAAATCCCGCAAAAACAAATTAGAGATGAGCTTGCAGTGTCTCCAAATCTTGGAGAGTTGTGTACAGCTATTAACAACAAAGCCAGTGAACCTGATGGGATACCTGTTGAAGTCTTCAAAGTGGGTGGAATTGAACTTATACAACAACTTCACAAGCTCACTGAAAACATATGGGAGATTGAGGAGATCCCAGCAGACTTTAGGGATGCCAAAATTATCATGATCATGAAAAAGGTGACAGAATGGATAGCAGAAACTATTGAGGCATCTCTTTATTAGCTGCGGCTGGCAAAATTATTGCAAGGATCTTAGCAAACTGTCTCTTAACAATATCCGAGGTGACCCTTCCTGAATCCCAAAATGGTTTTTGGCCTTCTAGGGGGACAGTGGACAAGATTTTCACCTCTTGACAGCTTCAAGAAAAATGCAGAGAGCAAAACCAACCCCTGTATATGGCATTTATTGACCTGACTAAAGCCTTCAACACTGTAAATTGCAATACCCTATGGACTGTCCTTGTGAAAATTGGCTGCCCAGATAAATTTGTGAACATCATTTGGCACCTTCATGATAATATGACAGCAACAACTGCAGATAGCAATGGCTTTCAAAGTGAACCATTCACAGCGGGATCAGAAGTTAAACAGGGTTGTGTTATCGCTTCAACTCTATTCATTATTTTCATTGCCATGATCCTACATTTTGTCAAAGGGAAACTCCCCACTGGGGTAGAAATGATATACATGATATACAGTGGTACCTCGGTTTTCAAACAGCTTAGTATACAAACTACTTGTAACCCGAATGCTTCAAACCCAGAAGTGAGTGTCCCGGTTTTCGAACTTTTTTTGGAATCCAAAGGTACTCTTTTTGGAGGGTGCACTTACGTTTTGAGTGCCACACTTCCGTTGCCTGCTCACTTGCCACCAGACCTGGGCTTCCCTTACTCAGCACCGGCTGTGCCAGCCACTGGCGACACCCGGAAGCGGAGAAGGGGGGCGTGGATGCTGCAGCCACAGCAGCGGCAGAGGGAACCAGCGGCGGGGAGCAGCAGCAGCATCCTTTGCCTGCGCGGCACGGCCTTCCCTCGCTCAGTGACGGCCGCAGCAGGACATCTGGAAGTTGAGAAGCATTGTTCTGCAGCGGCCGGTGCCAAGCGAGGGAAGGCCGTGCCACAGCAGCAACCACCCCCTTCTTCAGTACTGGGTGACACCTGCAGCCACCGCTCTGGGCCCCAGAGCAATGGCAAACAGCTCGCCCCCAGAAGTGACTGCCACGGCATCCCCTCACAGGGCACAAGACGGCGTGGGCAGGATGCTGGTGTTCATCGCTGCAGTAAGAGTTCTTCAGTGAGGAGAACACACTCAAGTGGAGGGCGCTGCTTGTGCTCTGAAGAAGGTGAGGAAGGGGCGCTGGATGTTTGTGGGGAAGAGATCCAGAAAGGCTGGCCTGGGGGGCGGGGAGAGAAGCTGACTGGCTCCTCAGAGAGAGAACTTTTGCCTTCCTTTCCTCCCCCCCCCACTTGAACTCCCCCTGGGGGGCGGGGAGAGAAGCTGACTGGCTCCTCAGAGAGAGAACTTTTGCCTTCCTTTCCTCCCCCCCCCCACTTGAACTCCCCCTTCACACACCCCGCATGCTTGTCCCTCCAATGGCAATGGGTAGATCACTGCCAGTTTTTTATACTGGGTAGTAGATTGCAGCCAAGAAGATCAAACCGATCCATTCTGAAGGAAATCAGCCCTGAGTGCTCACTGGAAGGACAGATTGTGAAGCTGAGGCTCCAATACTTTGGCCACCTCATGAGAAGAGAAGACTCCCTGGAAAAGACCTTGATGTTGGGGAAGATGGAGGGCACAAAGAGAAGGGGACGACAGAGGACGAGATGGTTGGATAGTGTTCTCGAAGCTACCAGCATGAGTTTGACCAAACTGCAGGAGGCAGTGGAAGACAGAAGTGCCTGGCGTGCTCTGGTCCATGGGGTCACAAAGAGTCGGACACGACTAAACGACTAAACAACAACAACAACAGATTGCACCCTGGTCTATTGCTTTCATTTTATGGATCAATGGCCTCGCTAGATAGTAAAATTCATGTCAAATTGCTGTTTTAGGGGTTGTTTTTAAAAGTCTGGAACGGATTGATCCATTTTGCATGACTTTCTATGGGAAAGCATGCCTTGGTTTTGGAACACTTTGGTTTTGGAATGGACTTCCTGAACAGATTAAGTTGGAGAACCAAGGTACCACTGATTCAAACAGATGGAAAGCTCTTTAATTTGAGTAGGCTGAAAGCAAAGAATATCTTCCATAACTTTCGTTATAGAGCTTCAGTATGCTGATGACAATGTAGTCATCATCATACTGATGACTCAGAGGATGACTTCTAAACCATCCTAAATATCTTTGCAGAAGCTTACGGAAAGCTTGGCCTATCACTCAACATCCAAAAAACCAAAGTGCTGCATCAACAAGCACAAAACAACCCCTCTGCAGTACCACAAATCAATCACTTCTCCTACCTAGGCAGTTATCTTTCCACAAGGGTCAACATTGATGCCGAAATCCAGCATCGCCTGAGCTCTGTGAGTGCAACTTTCTCCTGATTGAAGTGCAGAGTGTTTGAGGACCAGGACATTCGCAGGGAAACCAAAATGCTTTTTTACGAAGCTATTGTACTATCAACCTTACTATATGCTTGTGAAACATAGACCACTTATAAACGCCATCTCCAACTCCTCGAAAGATTCCATCAACGGTGTCTCTGAAAAATTTTACACATCACTTGAGAAGACAGGCGAACCAATGCCAGTGTACTGGAAGAAACAAAGATTTCTTCCAGTGTTGAAGCAATGATTCTTCAACATCAACTTGGTTGGACTGATCATGTTGTGCGGATGCCTGATTATCATCTTCCAAAAGAACTACTCTATTCCGAATTTTAAAATGGAAAGCGTAATGCTGGTGGTCAAAAAAAGAGGTTTAAAGACTGTCCAGTTCTGGGCACCACAGTTCAAGAAGGACACTGACAAACTGGAACGTGTCCAGAGGAGGGCAACCAAAATGGTCAAAGGCCTGGAAACGACGCCTTATGAGGAACAGCTAAGGGAGCTGGGCATGTTTAGCCTGGAGAAGAGGAGGCTAAGGGGTGATATGATAGCCATGTTCAAATATATAAAAGGATGTCATATAGAGGAGGGAGAAAGGTTGTTTTCAGCTGCCCAAGAGAAGCGGACACGGAGCAATGGATCCAAACTACAAGAAAGAAGATTCCATCTAAACATTAGGAAGAACTTCCTGACAGTAAGAGCTGTTCGACAGTGGAATTTGATGCCAAGGAGTGTGGTGGAGTCTCCTTCTTTGGAGGTCTTTAAGCAGAGGCTTGACAACCATATGTCAGGAGTGCTCTGATGGTGTTTCCTGCTTGGCAGGGGGTTGGACTCGATGGCCCTTGTGGTATCTTCCAACTCTATGATTCTATGATTCTATGAAAGACCCTCTCAAGGCAAATCTTAAAAAATGCAGCATAAACACCAACAATTGGGAAACACTGGTCTGCGAGTGATCTAGCTGGAGAACAGCCTTTACCAAAGGTGTTATGGGCTTTGAAGACATTGGAACTCAGGATGAAAGGGATAAATGTTCTAAGAGAAAGGTACGTTTGGCAAACTCTCACCATGATCAACTCCCGTCCAGAAAACTATGTCCCCACTGTGGAAGGACGTGTGGATCCAGAATTATTTGACCTGGAGGTGATCTTGTGTACACTATTTTAGAGTCTGATTCCGAACCATATAGCACATAAACACCCCACAAAATCTCTTATCCCAGACAGTGAAAACTGAGCTGGAAAAAGAACATGACATAACAAACATTGTGTGGTATGCACAAATGATTCCAGTTATCAAGAAAAACATGGAAATACGTATTTGTGTCACCAAAGCTTTTAAGCATCCACACAGTTAGTTTTGTTACATTTATTTACGGGGGGGGGGGACCTGCAAAGTGGGGTCTGGAACAGACACCCTTGGATGTGTCAGCTCCATTCACAGTAGCCAAACACTGGAAGGATATGAAGGGAGGGACAGTCGATCACTGGCATCACAAAGTTTCATTTGTTGCCTTCCTTAGTTGAAGGGTTGACCTAAAGGAACCTCAGCAAAGTATGAGTCCAAGGACAAGGCAAAAGAAAGAACCAATAATATGGTGAGGAAGAGAAGGGTCTAGACTGGAGGTAGAGCATTAAGCAATGAAGGATGCTGGCCAGAAGCCAGAGCAGCTGGTGGAAGCGATTCTAACTAGGCAATGAGAGAAAAAGGAGGGCTTTGCCGAAACAATGAGTGGCAGAAACTAAAGAAAGGGGGAGAACAAGGGGAGAAAGAGGGAGCAGAACATATTCTGGAATTCTCTGCAGTTGGCAAGGCTAACATGGCACATCATCGGGTGTCCCATAAAGCTAGGGAGTTTAGTTTAGTGGATTCCATCTAGGAGAGGAAGAGGAAAGAAAGATGCATGGCTGCAACTGCATACAGCCCCTACCTCGGTGCTTGCCTAGCCCTGCCCTGTTTGTTGTCATTTGAAGACATGCAGAACTATCCCAGAGTCTTGGGTCATCAGAGCCATTGTTTGTGCCCATTGGGCTGGTTCTCTCCCCAGCAGAGTTGGCTGCCTCCATGAGGCAACAACAAAACCTTGGCTGAACAATCCTTGTTCCGGGATTCTTCCTCTTAACCCAAGAGTGCCCAAAGCTGCTATCCCCAAGGCTTAAGGTCCCTCTGTTCAGACATACAAGCACTATATGCCAGGCCTTCTCTCCCCACCGCTTCTCCTTTCTGTAGAACCATTCTGCCCTTAAGCTCTCTCCCTTCTTCCCTCTCAAGAGAATTTCTTTCCATCCTTCAATCGGGGAATTATCAATCCATAGTTAATGTCTCAAAGAGAAATTCAGCAGACAAAGCAGGGATGAGGAACCTGTAGTGCCCTCCAGATGTGGTTGGACTCCCATCAGCCCCAGTGATTCTGCATTCAGGTTGCAGTCCACCAATATCCAGAGGTCCACAGGTTTCCCATCCCTGCCTTAAAGGTCTCCATGGTTTGCAGGTTCCCCATCCTCAGGCTCAAGCCTCTCTAGAAGCTCTGTCCTCTGATCCTCCCATTGCCCACTCTCCATCTATTAACTGTAGTTAAAAGATGAGGATTGTTACACCTGCGACAAAACCCTGATGGCTCCTGGGTTTAGTATTTTACCAAAACCAAGTATTGTACAAGAGAGGTAAGAAGTTGTACACATTACATCACAATCTGTCAGGGGGGAAACTGCTGCACTTTGTACCCGTGAAAGAGGCTGGCATAAGACATTGCACTTTCTCAGGCAAAGTACATGCACCCAAGACTGAAAATTCCAAATTCATCTCCCCTACAACTAAACAACAACAACAAGCACCCCAGTTTATAAAGTGCCACCATTTGCTGCTGTTGCATGACACTCCAGATCATCTCCCTGAGCCAACTGCCTCACTCTGTTTAATCGCAGGGCCAGCCAGGATGTGTCAGTATGGACAGAAATCCTCATTCTATGTAACACAGTGATCTTTGAGGGGGTTTTCCTTTGATTTCATTTCTTCAGCAGCTGGGAATGAAACCTGAGCTGGAAACCCAGGACAAGGGGAAGTGTGGTTTCTTACCCTTTTCCTCCACTGAAAATCAGCTCTCTCAACTGCTTTGACTCCCTCCAAGGAAATACATATCTTTACTGAGCAAAATAAAAATGGCAAATGTGTTACACAGAGGTATGGATGAATCTGTCAGTTTTGCTTTCTCCCTATTTCTGTTTTTTTTCCAATCAAAAGTTCAGTTCTCCATGTTTCTGTATAGGTTTGTTTGTTTGTTAAAGTCCATGTGGAAATACCTCAGCATTTTAATGCAAAGTTCTCTTTATATATACTTGTATGCAATTTCGCCTAATGTACACATTTTTGCAAAGCAATATCCCCAATATAATGTATTTTATATATTATGTGCATGAATTTTGTAAACACTTTACTCTAGTGTAAATTTTGAAGGGTGGCTGTGTTTCAGTGTGTGTATTGTTTTAGAAAGTAAAACTTTGGTAGGTTCACCTTTAAATGTGAATGGAATTGGTTTTTTCTCTCATCCCTCACTATGCATCAACTCATAAGAAAGCCTTCTGGATTTTGGGATGCTAACTATGAAATGCTCTCCTCATGGACTTCCCAATGCAGATCCAGATGCTGCTGACTTCGATGGCTAAAAGCATATGCCTTGACCAAAGCTTTTGGCTAACTGGAGATGGGAGTTGAGTGCCCTGCCCTCACTGATGTGATGATTTTTTGTCAATTTGCTGTATTTTGATGTTTTTCTGTTTGATTTTAATGTCATTTTGGTTTGGCAATATTATCTTGTCTATGCTGTTTTATTGTAACATGCATCAGTCTGTAGTCAATGTAGCTTGTGGGATCAAATCAACCCCGGGGTAATGGCACCTCAAAGGAACTTGAGCAGCAGCTCCAGCCAATTAGGACATGGCTTGAGTGGAGATCCCCACCCTATATGCTGGCACACTCTTGGGAGCGAGATTATTCTGTGCAGAACAGTCAGGGCATATGGTGCCCTTTATCTTTGCACAGAAGGGAGGGTCTCTGCAACCTTGCCTTTTCTTGCGGGACAAGCTCCACCTGCCAACATACAGCATACCTGTTAAAGAGGCTAGGACCTGTGTCATAAACAGATGCTGAAGCTATGCAAGAAACTTGGGGGGATTCATACTTGGCCATGCATTTTAGTTTGCTGTCCTAATATACACTTTAGCAGCTTATTCTACTTAAGGCCTTTTATCTCTTTAACAGTTGCACAAGGCAGAGATGTTTGGCAAGTGTTGGGTTTTCAAGCCCCAGCAGCAGTGTGAGTGACATGACAATTAACACTTGCTACAATCTCCCTCTACAAGGTACAAGGTCCAGTAGGACTAATGCTCAATGGGTTGGCCAGTGTTGGGATTGCCTTACATGACAATCACTTGGGGTTGTTTAGCAGAGAAGCACTGATGCATTGGACTGTGTGAGTTTTGACAGAGTGGATGTGTGTTCTAGGACTCAGTGATTGGAACTTGCCATTTCCAGGGGTTGAGGTGACACTAGCATTTAGCCTATTCCATCAAGAGTCTATTGGGCAGCTCCTCCTCTGCCTTGCAGGGTATAAAGGACTGTGTTGTACTTGCATAGCTGCCACTGTCAAGATGGTGACACCCAGCTTGGCTCTTCTCTTCCTTGGCATCATAGCGGCCAAGAATGATGCCATCATCATGGAGAGATGCAAACTGGCAGCCATCCTGAGGGACGAGGGCATGGAAGGCTTTGCGGGCACCAGAATAGAAGAGTGTGAGTGTCCCTTGTATTGTTCTGTGTGTGCATGGGTGCACGCAGGAATGTAGATTTGTGGGTGGGGAGGGGGCAGAAATTTGGTTGGGTTCACATTATAATGAGAACTCATACTTCACTTGCACTTTCCCCAAACATGTGAACCAAATAGCAGCCAGCCTGAGAAATTCGCACTTCTCCAAATTTTGCATTGCAGTTCTACAACTGACAAATGAGTACAAAATAGCTTATGTTGGGGAAAGTGAGCCTAAAAATGTGTATATACATGAAAATAAATTAGCCAAGGTTGCTTATAAAATGTGCTTATTAGGAGAAATGTGCTCTAAAATGCTGGTGATTCTTCAGGGTTTATTTAAGTGAATGAAGACGTAGAAATCTGGTAAACTGAACTGTAGATTGGAAAAAATGATAAATCAGTAGATTCACCCATCCCTGATCAGTAGCCCCTGCAGTCCAATATTGCCTGGCTGGACCATCCAGTCAGCATCCTCTTCTCACAGTGGCCAACCTGATGCCTGTGGGAAACCTGAAAGCAGGACCCAAGCACAAGAACAACACTCTCCCCTCCTGTGGTTTCCAGCATTCAGAAGCATCGCTGCCTAGGACTGTGATGTGAAGCCACAAGGCCTAGCCGCCCTTGGGATCGCTTTCCGCCTTCACACATTCGTCTATTCCTCTTTTAAAGCCATGTCAGCTGGTGGCCATCATGCTTCCTGGGGGAGCAAGTTCAAAATTATAGCTATGTGCTGTGTGAAGTACTTTTTTAAAAAAAATCTGTCCTGAATCTTCCAACATTCAGCTTCACTGGATGACCACGACTTCTAGTGTTGGGGGAGACGGGACCTTTCTCTATCCACTTTCTTTGTGTCATGCAGATTTTAACTACATTTGACATGGTTCTCCCCTCTCCATGATATCCTCACAACCACCCTGTGAGGTAGGTTAAGCTGAGAGACTGTGGCTAGCCTAAAGTCACCCAGTGATGATTGTGGATGAGTGATGATCTGAACTCTTGTCACCCAACTCAAGAACTATATGCCAGTTTCATATCATGTGTAAGAATTTCATCTATTTCTATACAGTGTTTACTTCCCTTTAGGCTACCCAAAATTATTATCCAGGGGCAGCTGCTTAATCCCCTCATCCCTTCCCTTACCCTTCCTTAACCCTATACATTTGTAATATTTGTCAATTGATTTTCAAAGCAGCAGCCTTTTAAATAACTCATCAATCTGTAAGAGCCTATCTTAAATGCTACGTCTGGGACCCGCTCCAGTTCTGTACAATGAGGAATCCAAAGCTGAGATGTTTTACCTGCCTCAGGAGAACTTTAATCTGTTTGCTCCTGCCTCTAGGGATTTGTTTGGTGTCTCACACAAGTGGCTTCAACACATCAGCCCTTAACGTGGGGCCAACGGCCAGCAATTATGGGATCTTCTTACTCAGTGGGAGGTGGTGGTGCAGAGATGCCAAGACCCTGGACACACGCAACCATTGTAACTTGAGTTGTGGTGGTAAGACGTTATATCCTTACAACCTCAATCCACTTTTTGTGGGCTTGTGGCTTCTGGATGGAAATATAACCAGTGCTGGAGATTGGTGAGGGAGCAGAGCTGCCCCAGACTTGTCAAGGGGCCCACTAGTGAAGTTCCCATATTGACTCTCACTTGTTGATGGGCCCAATGCCAAGGAAGAAGAGCTCCAGAGATCCTTTGCAATGGTGCAGGTGCAGGAGCACCATTGCAATGGTGCTGGAGCACCCCGCCAACCTTGCCCATGCATAGCAGCTCACATACAATGTCCATGCCTCTGAAAAGATTGAGTAAGTTCTTGGCTTCCTAGCCCTGTAAGTAATCAGTGTGTAATAAGGATAAAGTGGGACAGCTTTTGCTAACCTGTAGTCCTCCGGAAGTTTTGGATGACAGCTCTATCAGCCTGGCTAGATGGGAGATGTCTTCCAAAACATCTTGAGGACAACGGGTTGGCAAAGACTGGAGCAGGGGATATCAAGATTCACACGGGCTGAACTTTTGTTCCCCAATCAGCAGAAAGTAATTGGACAAAAAGTACTATCTTCGTACTCCTCTCAACTCCTCAATATAGCCAAAGATCAGGGGTGATGGGAGTGATTTATGGCTCAAAACATTTGGAGGGCACCACATTGGCTCCCCTTGATCAAATGCACTTTGAACTCAGGATGACATAAATTGGGAGAAGGAAAGCTCATCTCCCCACTGAAAATACTTAGAATAATATTTTTTAAATAATAATTTTATCATTTATACCCTGCTATTTGGGCGTTAGATCAACTTTCTGACCAATTGTTATTCAACAGTCTATCACAACTTTTCTACGATAGTCCCTTCTGCTTGCTGCAACCTAAACATGAGGGTCCTTCTCTCATTAGTTAACTCACACCATGTATTTAATGATAATTACTTTTCAGCTCATTCTCCGACTCTTCCCCCTCCCCGACTCTCATCTTTCCTTCAGCTCTCCAGGATGACAACATTACAGATGACATTGACTGTGCAAAGAGGGTCGTGCAAGGAAAGAAGGGCTTCAAAGCATGGTAAACAGATAGCCTTAATCTAGGTCAGCTGCAGGATAGACCTATGGGACTTCAAACTCTGCTAGATACCCATCTTTTTCCATAGGTGCCTGGAGATCTTGTCTAGGCTTAGGAGCCAATCCTTATTTATGGTTGTCACCAACCCTGTTCTTTCCCCCACGTCCTCAGACACATACAAGGAAGATGTATATGCCTATCCTCTGAGCTGGGAACTTTGGCAAAAGGTGGGACATTGCTGCTGACTGTAGACACCAAGGTTGTCTGCACCAAGTCAATAACTAGTGTGGTGTAGTGCCTAAAGTGCCGGACCTGGGATTTTGTGGGGATTAAATAAGGAGGGGGAGAACCATGAGCTCCTTGGAGAAAAAGTGGCTAATAAACATAATTTACTCAGAATATTACTCAGAGTAAACATATTTACTCAGAATAAATCCATTGAAATTAATGCGGAAATCATAACACAAGGAAATAATGCATTGGAGAACACCTACAATGGAAGAGAATCTGTGCCTGATTTTAGCTAAGAACATAAAGGATAGCTGAGCCAGAGATGTCATCCAACTCTGTAAATGAGTGCCACCAATGCTGTTCCCACAGTGTGGCAAATCAGGACAAATGTCCCAAGTCCCATGCTTTGGGGGGGGGGGGAGCTTTATGCAGAGCTGCCAAGGTGGGGGACTGCTGCTCCTACTCCTCTCGCCCTAGATTTAAAAACATTTTGCTGCTGCTAACGCAGCCTGTTCTTCCTCAGAGTGCTGCATTCTGGGCAAGGTGGCTGTGCTGCTGCCACTTTGCCATGGGGGCTAGACATTTTTGTTTTAAAAAAGTCAAAAGTTTGGTTTTATTCTTGAAAAGATTTTCTAGCTGCTGCAGCAAAGCATAAACAGTATAGACACTCACCCAGAATGCAGCATTCCTAGGAAGGAACTGGCTTCCTCAGAGTACATCTACTTGTTACATGTTTTCTACCCCAAAGTACAAAAGGCTTTTTGTTTGCCCACCACTTTCCCTGGAAAAACCTGCTGTTTATTACTGTATTAGAAGAAAAATCAATCCACAGAAAACCTGACTGGCATTTGTTCCAATTCTGCAGGAAACAGCAGCTTTTCCCAGGGGAAAGTGGCAGGCCAAGCTGAAATGTGGATGAGCCCAGAATGGCAGCAAAACTATTTTAATTAGGAAGGACAGGATGGAGAGTGGGGGCAGCAGCAGGAGGTGGCCCCATACGGTGAGTGCCCTGGAGAGCCCCACAGAAAGGCAGGCAAGTGGGCAATTGAGTGTGATTTGCCCTGGGTACCAACCCTACCCAACCAGATAAATAACAAACAGCAATGGACAAAAATATTCCAACTATAGCATAAACACTTGTTTTATGGCATTCATGCAGGAGCAGGAGCAGGAGCAGGAGCAGCACTTTTGTCTCCCTAATTATGCATCTTTTGAGTTGTTTGACCAAGGATTTCTCATTACAGGAGAGCTTGGGGAAAATATTGCAAGGGACAAGAAATGAAACAATATGTTGCACACTGTGATCTTGAAAAAATCACCCCTATGACACAGGTCCCAGCAACAAAACTTCATCCAAAACCTACCACCCCCCCAATGAAGAAGGATCAAATCACCCCTATGACACTGGTCTCAGCAACAAAACTTCATCCAAAACCTACCATCCCCCCAATGAAGAAGGATCAAATCACCCCTATGACACTGGTCCCAGCAACAAAACTTCATCCAAAACCTACCACCCCCCCAATGAAGAAGGATCAAATCACCCCTGTGACACTGGTCTCAGCAACAAAACTTCATCCAAAACCTACCACCCCCCCAATGAAGGATCAAATCACCCCTATGACACTGGTCTCAGCAACAAAACTTCATCCAAAACCTACCATCCCCCCAATGAAGAAGGACCAAATCACCCCTATGACACTCGTCCCAGCAACAAAACTTCATCCAAAACCTACCAACACCTCATTGAAAGAAGATCGGCCGAAGACCACTCTCCCAGCAAAGGGTCCCCCAAAACCTACTGTCCCAGTTAAGGAGCCCACAAAAGCCATGATCCCAGTCAAGGCTCCCCCAAAACCTACCATCTCAATCAAGGAGCCTGCACGCTCCACTCTCCCTGAAAATGGTCTCCCAAAATTCACTGCCTCATTGAAGGAAACACCAAACTCCATCATCCCAGCCAATGGACGTCCCAAACTGACTGTGCCAGTCAAGGAATCCTCAATCTCTACTCTCCCAGCTGATGTTCGTCCCACACACATTTTGAACCAGGACGACAAATAGTGGCAAGACTCTGTGCTTTTAAGTTTAAAGCCCCAAACTTCCACATACATGTCATGATACTGCCTCAGTTTTCCAGATATGGATCCACCCTCACATCTACTTCTTTTTTTAAAAAAATGCTAACAACTGAATTTTAATCTTTCAGACTATTTGCTTGTAAATTAATGTTTTCTGCATCAAGAGAATGTTCCCAATAAAATTTACCATCTAATTTCATATGCACGCCTACAGACAGCAAACTTACTGTGTTGGACTCAGTTATATTGTGTGGGCCAGTAATATTTAGATTCTCCCTTCAGCCCCACAAAAAGCCTCTTCAGGAGATCTGGTACAGCAAGGAAAATAGTGCTGCAGAGGGAACTGGTGAAGATTTCCACCTGGCCCTCTTCCTCCAGTGGGAAGTCTTCATTTTTCACAGTCATCTTTTTCACAGAGGGGCAAATCAAGATTACACTCAAGGGTGTGAGATGTTCACAATGTAAAAGGAAATTTATTGTCGTTTAGTTGTGTCCGACTCTTCGTGACCCCATGGACCAGAGCACACCAGGCACTCCTGTCTTCCACTGCCTCCTGCAGTTTGGTCAAACTCATGCTGGTAGCTTCGAGAACATTGTCTAACCATCTTGTCCTCTGTCGTCCCCTTCTCTTTGTGCCAACCATCTCGTCCTCTGTCGTCCCCTTCTCTTTGTGCTCTCCATCTTTCCCAGCATCAGGGACTTTTCCAGGGAGTCTTCTCTTCTCATGAGGTGGCCAAAGTATTGGAGCCTCAGCTTCAGGATCTGTCCTTCCAGTGAGCACTCAGGGCTGATTTCCTTCAGAATGGATAGGTTTGAACTTCTTGCAGTCCATGGGACCCTCAAGAGTCTCCTCCAGCACCATAATTCAAAAGCATCAATTCTTTGGCGATCAGCCTTCTTTATGGTCCAGCTCTCACTTCCATACATCACTACTGGGAAAACCATAGCTTTAACTATACGGAGCTTTGTTGGCAAGGTGATGTCTGCTTTTTAAGATGCTGTCTAGGTTTGTCATTGCTTTTCTCACAAGAAGCAGGCATCTTTTAATTTCGTGGCTGCTGTCACCCTCTGCAGTGATCATGGAGCCCAAGAAAGTAAAGTCTCTCACTGCCTCCATTTCTTCCCCTTCTATTTGCCAGGAGGTGATGGGCCCAGTGGCCATGATCTTCGTTTTTTTGATGTTGAGCTTCAGACCATATTTTGCACTCTCCTCTTTCACCCTCATTAAAAGGTTCTTTAATTCCTCCTCACTTTCTGCCATCAAGGCTGTGTCATCTGCATATCTGAGGTTGTTGATATTTCTTCTGGCAATCTTAATTCCGGCTAGGGATTCATCCAGTCCAGCCTTTCACATGATGAATTCTGCATATAAGTTAAATAAGCAGGGAGACAATATACAGCCTTGTCGTACTCCTTTCCCAATTTTGAACCAATCAGTTGTTCCATATCCAGTTCTAATTGTAGCTTCTTGTCCCACATAGATATTTCTCAGGAGACAGATGAGGTGATCAGGCACTCCCATTTCTTTAAGAACTTGCCATAGTTTGCTGTGGTCAACACAGTCAAAGGCTTTTGCGTAGTCAATGAAGCATAAGCAGATGTTTTTCTGGAACTCTCTAGCTTTTTCCATAATCTTATTAAATCACCTTAAATAAATATACATGCAAGTGGTTCATTATATAACTGTTTATAAATAAGGCAAGGTAACAATCTCTGAAAAATAATTTTGTAACTATCACTGACTTCATATTAAACACACAGCATCAAAAATAAACTTGAAAACTTCTTGTTTGCTAATTTAGTTTATTGGATATAAATATAGCCATGGTGATATTTATCCAGTACCTGTGCCTTGAGGGCTAAATTAGGTGTTGTCTTTTAACATCCAAGGTTTTTTTTTAGAATAGAAATTCCATCAGCTGGACTGCAGTGGGCATGGGGAATTGAAGTCCTTCCTCCCTTGCAGCATTCCTGATAAAATCCCTCTGGAACTGGCATTTGCATTGGGAGGAAATCCCCCATTAGCAATGCACCTTGTCTGACACTTAGAGGAGCCCTCCACTTCCTGCATTTTTAGCCAAAAATATATACCGGTAGTTAACCAAGTTAACATTGTGAAAACTTACAGCTGCCCCCAAAGGAACCGAGAACTTGCGGTCATTTGCACTTTGGTGCCACCCCCTGCTAACTTTCTAGTATAGTTTCGCAATGTGTTTTTAATGCATGGCACCCAAAACCGGACACAGTGAACCAGATGAGGGCTGACAAGTGCACAATAAAGTGAAACAATTAGATTGCAAGCTGCATTATACTAAGGCACTGGACCAAGCTTGGTATTAACTACAGTGACTGGGAGCAGGTCTCCAGAGTCTCAAATAGGGGACATTCTGAGCTCTACTGGGAAAAGATGGGGACTGAATGCAAGGAAGATGTTCTGCTAGCATGCAGGTTAGTTGAATCTAGGCCTTAAGTAATTTGCTTCCAGAAAGAATAATCTACATCCCAGTTTCATTTGATTACTTTCTCCACTTACCTCCCCCCCCCCAAGTACAGTGGTGCCCCGCAAGACGAATGCCTCGCAAGACGGAAAACCCGCTAGACGAAAGGGTTTTCCGTTTTGGAGGTGCTTCGCAAAACGAATTTCCTATGTGCTTGCTTCGCAAGACGAATATGTCTTGCGAGTTCCTGCGGTTTTTTTTTTTCTTCCCCCCCCCTTTTTCCCAAGCCGCTAAACCGCTTATCAGCTGATTGGCTAAGCCGCTTATCAGCTGATCGTTAAGCCGCTTATCAGCTATCGTTAAGCCGCTTAACAGCTGATCGCTAAGCCGCTTATCAGCTATCGTTAAGCCGCTTAACAGCTGATCACTAAGCCGCTTATCAGCTGATCCTCTAAGCCTGCTAAGCCGCTAATACTGTAGCGCTAATCCGCTAAACCGCTAATGGGCTTGCTTCGCAAGACGAAAAAACCCGCAAGACGAAGAGACTCGCGGAACGGATTCTTTTCGTCTTGCGAGGCACCACTGTACTCTCCACAGGGCTCCCTGTGTGTGCGCTCCCAGAAATCTGTGAAAGCAGACCAAAGTGTAAGATTATGAGTACAAGATGTTTTGCCTAAAACAAAAAAGGGGTTCAAGGAGGGGTGTCTGAAGCAAGGCAAGTCACATCACAGCAAGACTGAAGTTCACAATCAGAGGTGAAACGGGTGCAGGATTTGGATATTTAGTTTGGTTTTAAGCATGATGTGGCACTAAAGAAAATAAGGTATGACTAAGCAACTGGTTGTTTTGAAAATATTTTAATATGAGTGCAAAACTGAATTAAGATAACAATTGCAATCAAGTGGTACTTGCTGGTGTTGTTGACATTTAAGGGCCACACTTTGCCCCTTCCTCCTCTATTCTGGCCAGCAGTTTAAGTGCCTTTGCCTTATGGCTCTTCAAATAAATTATGACTTGACCTTATAGAATTATTCTTTGCTTCTGCTCAGCAGTTTGCTTTTGGGAGTTATGTGGTTTATCTTTTCCTTTGCTCTTACAGTTGTGCTGCACCCATTTAATATTCTCTCCACTCCATCCACCGCAGCCATTCTACGCATGACCTTGGGCCACTCACTGCATCTCAGCCTGACCTACTTCTTTCCCTCCCTCCCAGGGTTATTGTGAGATAAAATGGAGGTGATGGGAGAAGTGGCTATGCTCCTGTGAGCTCCTCGGAAGAAAGGAGTATAGAAATGTAATAAAAAAACAACAATGCATAGATCACATCTATTTTCCTTGGTTGTCTGAGTGACGGGTTCAAGATGTCAAAGTGAGGGAAGAAATAATTTAACACTCACCCTTTGTCCAAGCCGAAAATTTATGTGAGACCTCAAGCAAATACACTTTACAATGAAGAAATAAAATGGGACACAATGTAAGTACTGAAATCAGTGCTGGATGCAGAACTCTCTCTTGTATAGCAATTCTTTAAAAAATTCTAATTGGCAAATGGGGTATTTTTTCCTAAGCCTAATTGCTGCATCAGGTGGTGGGTGTGGATTTGGAACAGAAATGGTGAAGCGGGAAAGGGGTGGCAGAAAGCAAATGGGCACATTGCCAGTTCTGGCCTTACCCCCCCCATGTGATCCCCAAAGATTCCCTCAAGGAAATGTAGCCCATTCCCTAAGAAAGGTCCTTCCACTCTACTGCTCTAGACTTCCAACTGCTAGACACAAGTTTGAAATGCTGTCGACAGCAGCTGGAGGAAGCCACTGAATTCAGATGTGTAAGCAGACTTGCCACGTATGTCTTGATCTTCTCACTAGTTCTCTTCTTTAATGAGTAGACAAGGCAATGGTTGCAAGTACAGCTGGACTAAAAGGGGTTTTAAAAGCAGATGAAATGGGAATGTGTATTCCATACCTCACTTAACACTTCTTTCCCCAGCTGTAAGAGTTAAAGTACTCAAGGAAGAAATCATTTCTGTAAATAGCAGAAGCTGAACAACACAGATGTACACATCTGCTTTATAGTTAGGCTACTTTTTATTTTCATTTGTTAAGCGAGGGTATCCATAGTTCTGGCCAGCCCTTCCTACTTCTGCTACATACTCTGGCCACATACTCAGTGGACAGTAGGTCCACTGGTTCTGAAATGGGACAAACATCCTTCAGGAAAGGAGACAGGGTGCTCTGCTCATTACTTTCAGAGCATTATTTGGGATACCTTGGTTCTGGTGTCTCTTTATGCAAGAGCCCATTTTCTATTCAAGCTCTGGGGAGGTGAGTGGGGGGGAGAGAACATGAGGCATACAGACAGACAGACAGACAGACAAACAAACAAACAAACAGACAGACAGACAGACACACACACACACACGCAGACACTCTCCTATTGGCAGCATATCCTGAAGCCAACAAATGATCAATTTTGTGTTGTAAGACTCAAGCTTGCCTGGAAGCCAAGTGTGGAAAAAGTGCTTATGCAAGGATGAATAAGCTGTGCTCCTCCAGCTGCTGTTGGACTTCAACTGGCCTCAGCTCCAGCCCTCAGGGCCAATAGACAGGGCTGAAGGGAGCTGCAGTTCCATAACATTTGGATGTCTACAGCTTTCCCATCCCTGTCCAAAAGTCTCAGCAGTGGGCAACTATTTTCTGGGCACCAGCAATGGCAAAACAGCAGCCAGCCCCCAAAAAACTTTGGGAGGAGGAAGGCAGCACCAGGTGGCAAGGAGTCATGAGGCCCCTCCAATGCCGTTGAACGCCCCCCAAAGGCCACATGATATGCACACAAGAGATCAGGACATGGAAGACATTCTTGTAGTCCTTCCATGGTGACTGGAAGCCTGCTCCTAAAAACAAAGCATTCCAAAATAGAGGAGCTTGGAATTCTGCAAATGAAGTGTGCATTTGTCAGTAGGGATGTGTCACATTACGGTTTGTTCTTCACTTTTCCCAAACCTCTCTTCCCTTTCTACCCTCCCCACCCCCCGCCCCGTGATGGGGAATAAAGCCCCACCTTTTTACCTTTCCAAGGAATGTCATCTCCCACTAGTGCAGTGCTTCTATGAGAAGGTCTTAGTGCTCAGGAACAAGAAAGGAGGGCTGCTTCCAGTTTCCTGAGTATCAAGACCTCTTAAGCAGTGGGGATGCACCTGAGTCTGAAAAGGGACCTGCAGAGACAGGGGCGGGCAGGCGATTTGGAAGTGGTTGGTGAGCAGGATCCAGGCGACAGCTTCACCACCCCTGTTCTCACCTGAAGGGAGAGATGGAAACCAAAGCAGAGCTTGCTTATTAAAAAATTTAATACCTTAAAAAAAATAGAGACCAGTTCTGATTTATCCCCCCCCCCCCGAATACTTTCATTATTTTCTTCTGAGAGAAAAGCAGCACACACACACAAAAACTGACGGTGAGTGGAACAAGGGAAAGGCTATGGGGCATTTGCTGCTGCCACCACCACCACACTGAAGGAAGACACAAGACAAAACCAGGAGTCAGCAAGTGACATGCAGCTATGGCTTCTGTAGAACCTTCCCTGAACAGGACAGCCCAGAATCTCTCAGCCTCCACTCCAGCGACATCCATTTAGTCTTTCCCGCTGCCCGGAACAAAAATCTTCCTGGTCCTCAGAAACAGAATAACTCATCTGAACTCAGCAACCTTGAAGCAAAGGAAAGACATGCCTGAAGTGGCACAACCATGTTTTAGCTGGATCTGGGGCAGGAAGGGGCAGGTCCCAGCCAGAGGAACTTTTTTTAGAGAGAGAGGGGGAGATAGCAAAAGAGATGCTTTGCTTAAATCCCATGCTTCCTGTGTTTGGAGATGACCATACTGCAGGTCTAGGAGTCGCCAGGACAATGCTAAATTGAGCGGGGCAGGCAAGTGGGAGCAATGGACAGAAAGGTCCACACTGATACATAAGCTGCCTCCACATCAACCTGGGAGGCTGTACCAGCACAGGGAACTGGGAGCAGCACAGGCTACGGCAATGGACCCTGAGCTCCCACTGCAACTCTCTGGCAGGAGACAAGCAAGCGACTGAAGACAGGAATCGAGTCTCTGAGAGGAATGTCTCTCTGTGCCAGAAACACAGAAGCAGCTCACCAGTAGAGAGAGGCAGAAGACAACAAGAGGAATGGGACTTTCTGTGCCAAGCTACTGAACAAGAGAGAAAAAAATATAAAGCTATTTATGGCAAGGAATGATCCCTTTAGATATTCCAAGCCATTTCCAGTGTCAAAATAAAACCTCTTCCCATTCACTGCCCCACAGGGCCAAGTCCTCTCCCCAAATCCCCCCTCCCAACTCAGTTCTCAGCGAGCGCCTCTCCCTGATGGCCAAGGGTTGAGCCGGCACTGTGGGCAGCAACCAGAATAGACAAGAACGTCACAGGCCTCGGAGCGTTCACCGGCGTGCCAGCCTGCAGGCCAACCAGAGCAGAGCCGATAGGCCTCCAGGTCGCAGATGAGTTCCACCACCTCGTCCACCGTGGTGAGGCGGGCAGGGTGGCTGGCATAGAGTTCATGCTCAGGGGGCACGGGCAGGTTTCGCACCACCACATGGAAGAAGAGGCCTGGGCGGATGTAGATGACAGCTGAGGACATGGTGGAGTGTTCTGAACGCTGGACGAGACGCAGGTCAGGGCCGCAAAGCGGAGACAGCACCTCCCAGTGAGCAGGGAGAGGGATCTCATTCAGCTCAGCCAAGAACTCATGCAGGACGCTGTCCAACTGGGCAAGGGGCTGCGCACCACCCAGGCTATAAATCTCCATTATCTGTGGAAGGAGAGACAAAAGAATGGCTTCATACCATCTCCCTCTCTCCTTCACAACATATGAGCAACGCGGCCCCCATGAGTTGAGCTGTTTTGTGAGGGCTGTAGCAAAATGTGCTTCGTTTCACTTACCGGCTCAAAGTTTGGGACTCCGATGGAAAAGGGGGCAGTATGCAACTCCCCCCAAACCCAGCACTCCTGCCACCCAAAAATCCCTACATGAGTTGCCATTTCCCCCCATTCACAACAGATACTACCTAGTCCCCTGAATTCCAGATGCATTTCCAGTTGTGTGACAGTGCTATGGGTGCAGAGCAAAATATTTCATAGAAAGTGATACATTTCTGTTTACAGAAGAGGCAGAAGACTTGGCTAAGGGATCTCAGTAATTCAGCCTACGGATGTGTCTAGAGCACCATCTAGAGACCATGCTCCTGAGGATGTGGACAGGGGACCCAAAGGACTATGGCCTAACACTTGCCCTCTCAATCCTTGCCCTTGGCTTATTCCGCCGAGCAGAAGGTAGTTTTCTGTCCGGGTTCAGGAGGTGAAAAATGCGTCGTTGCAAGAGATGATTCCCCCATCTGCAATAATCGACTGGTCACAACAAAGCTGAAGTAATGTCAGTGGGTGGCATCTCTGTCCAGGAAGGTCATGTTCCACCAAATCTAGCAGGGACTGCACTCCCCCTGATAAGGCTTGCAATCTGCAGGTGCTCATCCAGCCACACTGTTGTCACTAGAAGCCCAAGTGCTCTCAGTGGCACAGATCATCCTCCACTGGCCAAGAGTGGTGTGACAGCTGAAATCTCTTCTCCAAAGAGAAAGCCAAGCTTTAGACCTGCCCTGAAAACTTCCATGTTAGAACACATTTTAGTACTATCTGGCGCATGGAAACTGCAGTTAGTTCAAAACACGGCTGTTAGGCTATTTACTAGGAACAGACGTTAGAAACGTATCTATCTAAGGCTTCAAGAGATTCACTCAGTCTGGTCCATTTCTGAGCACAATTTAAAGTACTGGTGCTTATCTTTACAGCAGGGATGTGATCTTCTACAGATTGTTGAACTACAACTCCCATCAGCTACAGCCATGCTGTATGTGAGGGATGATGGGAGTTGTATTCCACCGAAATTTTGAGAGCCACAGGTTCCCCATCCCTGTTTTAAAGCTCTATATGCCCTGGGACCTGGACCTTGACTTCTCCCATTAAGCCTGCTCAGACACTGAGATGTTCTTCAGAGTTCCTCCCATGGGGAAGAGGCCTTTGCTGCAGTGGTGTCTTGCTTATGGAATTCAACCCCGCCTCCCTGCCCTCCAGGGAGGCTTGCCTGGCCCCTACACCAGCATCTCTTAAGCGCCTGGCAAAGACTTTTGACCACTTATTGCGGTCATTTTGAGATCAGGTCTTTTTGAGGTCATTTACTGCTTAATTGCTTTTCTAATTGCCTTTCTTATTAGCTATCACAAAAGGCGCCAGACATTCTGAATTCAAGGGCAGTAGAGAAATATTTTAGATAGATAAATCAATCAATCTCAAACTATATCACACTTCTGCAAATGGCATGAACCTATAAATATCTCCATGTGGTTTTTGCAATGGGGTGCCGTATAAATTGCACCAGAAGACCTCTCCCTCCATGCCTGCCACACTCACTGCATTGTTCCTGCCAGCATGTGGAACAGAGTCCAGTTCTACAAAGTAAGCCTTCTCTTCTCCCTAAGTCAAAGAGCCCAGGGATCTTACCAGTTGCCCCAAACAACTTAATCACTCACCACTGGTGGACGCAATTGCTGCAGGTGCTCCACTTCTTCGTCATCTTCATCATCCAGAACCACCAGCTCCTTGCCCTGTGCTCCCCGCCCCCTCTTACACTGGGGAAGTCCTGCTGAGACCTGGAGGAAAGGAAAAGACATGGAGCTTTTTAATATTCAGAAACTTCCCACAGAGCGAACAGCACCACTTGACATACAGGGAAGGATGGGAGACCATGGACAGTGGTGATATTAAGATACAAGGCTAGAAAAGTTTTCGTTGCTGGTAGCAACTCTTTTTACATCTGCTGCAGCACAAGGCCGGGATGAATTTGTGGTCAACTTGCTGTGGTGCTCAGTTCTTTGTGACATTGTCCTTACCAAGTCATGACTGCAGCCAATGTGACTAACAGCCTTGGCAATTAACCATATTAAGTTTAGATTACCGTATTTTTTGCTCTATAACGCGCACCTGACCATAACACGCACATTGTTTTTAGAGGAGGAAAACAAGGGAAAAAACATTCTGAATGAAACAGTGGATGTATCATTTTTGTGCTTCATGCTGTGGCCACAGACATGTGATCTGATGGTGAATTTGGGGTGACCCAATGCAAAAATCCTGAGAATCCCTGTGGATCCATGCTTTGTAACCATGTTTTTGCACCACTGCAGCCCCAGGCAACAGTGGGTGCGTGATTTTTTTGGTGCAGGCTGTAGCTATGGACATGCTATGTGATCTGATGGTGAATTTGGGGTGACCCAATGCAAAGATCCTGAGGATCCATGTGGATCCATGCTTTTTAACCACATTTTTGCACCATTGCAGCCCCAGGCAACAGTGGGTGCGTGATTTTGGGGGGGGCAGGCTGTAGCCATGGACATGCTATGTGCTCTGATGGTGAATTTGGGCTGACCCAATGCAAAGATCCTGAGGATCCATGTGGACCCATGCTTTTTAACCACGTTTTTGCACCATTGCAGCCCCAGGCAACAGTGGGTGCGTGATTTTTGGGGGGCAGGCTGTAGCCATGGACATGCTATGTGATCTGATGGTGTATTTGGGGTGACCCAATGCAAAGATCCTGAGGATCCATGTGGATCCATGCTTTGTAACCACATTTTAAGTGGGGAGGGAAGGAAAAACACAGAAGGGACAAGGAGCACGAGAGGGGTGTGCAGAGAAGCAGCTGGCTAAGAATGCAGGAGAGGGGTATAACGGGAGGGAGGAAAGGAAGGCAAAAGTTCCCCCCCCACTCACCCACCCAAGCCAGCCAGCTCGCGCGCGCGCTCTCTCTCTCT